CGTCACGTTTTACGTCACGTCGTCACGTTTTACGTCACGTCGTCACGTTTTACGTCAAGTCGTCACGTTTTACGTCACGTCGTCACGTTTTACATCACGTTTACGTCACGTTTTACGTCACGTCGTCACGTTTTACGTCACGTTTACGTCACGTCGTCACGTTTTACGTCACGTTTTACGTCACGTCGTCACGTTTTCCGTCACGTCGTCACGTTTAACGTCACGTCGTCACGTTTAACGTCACGTCGTCACGTTTTACGTTACGTCGTCACGTTTTACGTGACGTCACGTTTTCCGTCACGACGTGACGTAAAACTTGACGTAAAACGTGACGACGTGACGTAATACGTGACAACGTGACGTTAAACGTGACGACGTGACGTTAAACGTGACGACGTGACGGAAAACGTGACGACGTGACGTAAACGTGATGTAAAACGTGACGACGTGACGTAAAACGTGACGACGTGACGTAAAACGTGACGACGTGACGTAAAACGTGACGTAAAACGTGACGACGTGACGTAAAACGTGACGTAAAACGTGACGACGTGACGTAAAACGTGACGACGTGACGTAAAACGTGACGTGACGTAAAACGTGACGTCTTATGTTACGCGATATGTTGTCTATTTAACAGCAGTTTCATGCTTGTTCAATTAAACAGGAGAGTAGATAAGTTAGGCCGGTTCTGCAGCGGAAGTGGGGTAAGTGGACCCCAGTCCATCGAGTTCGGCGCGCGGGTTCAGCGGCTTCTTGTGGTCATTGCCGTTGTGCAAGAGTCGCGTGGGTGTTGGCGTGCAAGAAGTGTCATGGGGGCGGTAACCTGTGGAGGTTGAGGGCAGGTGTTGGGCCGTTAGGAACAAGATGGCGGTGGTCTGCGTGGAAGGTGATGTGTTGTTGGGGATAAGATGGCGGCGGTCTGCGTGGAGGAAGGCGGGTCGCTGAAGAGGAGGAGGGCGGGTCGCTGAAGGGTTTGTCAATGACCAGAGTGTTAGTTCGGGATTCTGCCGCCAGGATTTTGTAGATGTCGCTGTTGGGAGGAGGCGGGGCAAGATGGCGGCGGGCGGCGTGCGGGGTGCGGCGACCGGGGTGCGGCGTGCGGGGTGTGGTAGCTAACAACAAGATGGCTGCGGTCTGCGCGTAAGGTGATTGGTCGTTAGCGATAAGATGGCGGCGGTCTGCATGGAAGGTGATTGGTTGTTGGGGATAAGATGGCGGCGGCGGCCTGCATGGCGGCGCTGGAGAATTCGGGGCATCACTTTGCGTTTTCATTTCAATTATAAGTTTTTAATTTTTATTGTAGACATATAGCGATAAGGCGACGAGCGCTAACAGCAGAAAACCGTTAAAAATAATTAGGTCTGCCGGAAGGAGATAACGATAAGCGAGCGAGCGTAACCGGATGCTGCTGATAACTGCAAACACACAAACAGGAAACCGTTAAAAAATAATGAGCGCTGGCCGGAAGGAGATAACGATAAGCGAGCGAGCGTAACCGGATGCTGCTGATAACTGCAAACACACAAACAGGAAACCGTTAAAAAATAATGAGCGCTGGCCGGAAGGAGATAACGATAAGCGAGCGAGCGTAACCGGATGCTGCTGATAACTGCAAACACACAAACAGGAAACCGTTAAAAAATAATGAGCGCTGGCCGGAAGGAGATAACGATAAGCGAGCGAACGAGCGCTAACAGGAAACCGTTAAAAATAATTAGTTTTGGTAGCGTGCGATAACAAATGTAACGAACGTTGGCCGGATGTGATAAGAAATGACGATATAAATACTGAAATAAAGTTATCATTTGCCAGTCTTCATCGATACCTCGTAGAAGCAACTACGCTGTCATCTCCAGCTTCAGTTCTTCAGTAGTTTCTGTGCGTTTGTGCCTTTTCATCGTCTTTATCTACAAGTAATTGTGTCTAGTGCTCCTAACAAGTAAGTAATATATTTTTTAAGTAGTTCTTTGCATTTTACAAGCTTTTGTATTGTTATAATCTGGATCTTAACGTAATTAAATAGTTAACCTATCATTCTTTACATTTAACAAGCTTTTAGTTATACAAGTTATTGTTGTAGCATGAATCTAAGCCAAATTAATGAGGTTTCCTCCATCCGCAGGACTCCAGTAATTAATCTACAGGACCTACCTGTGGACCAACCCATACCGATTTGGGGGATAAAAATAGTTAACACCCGGTTTGGGAAGACGGTTCTAGTCGACTTGGGCGAGAACGCGGTGTTTTTACCAAGGAGGTCTTTGCCGGCAATCGAGGCAAATTTGGAATACTTTGTTCCTAGGAAGTACGGCTTGATATTCAAGGGCCTAGTGCAGTGCAATCAGCCGAACCCAATCAAAAACTTTGAGATTGTGGAGCTGCCACAAGATCATCAACAACCCGAGTCAACATAAAAAAACTGTAAGTGCCCCCAAAATATTTTTGTGTCGTGTTTTTACTATAAAACGTTTTACATTAGTTGCACTCGTATTTTATTTATAAATTTAATTGCTAATTATGGACTCTCTTGTTCAGGAAACCGATAATTTTATTGGTAAACTAAACCAGGTTTTAGAACTTGTACAATCTGGAAGTCGAACACCCAATGTACAAAATTTTTTAAAATTAATCAATCGGCAAATACGGCTGATGATTCAGGCCAGTAAAACGTTGAGTTCAATAGGGACTAGAAGAAAATTAGAAACTAACATTGGTCACTTGAAAAGAATCAAAATTTTAATGAAATCAAATTTGGAACATGAAGGGGCGGGGCATAGAGATAACCGCAGTCGGCGGGTTATGTGGCAAGACCTTCAGTCGATATTCGCTGGACGTATTCGTTCGGGGATAATAATAAATAAGCGACATATTGACATTAAAGCTTTCTTAAATGATGCATTTTTCCTATTTAAAAATAGAATATCTAGAATTCTTAAGGTTTATCCAACCATAAAGGTTAATGCTGCTTTTTGTGGAGAATTTATTAAAGCCAGGCCTAATTCAAACGAAACAATTTCAGATTTTAAATATTTTAACACAAAAAATGCTGTAATAGATTTGGGTACAGATCTAAAAGTTTGGTTTTTTGAAAACGTTACGGATAAAATTTTAAATAAAGTAGAAGAGTTCCAGGAAAAAGATAGTGGTTTGGGCGTTACATAAAATTATTAGTTTAGAAATTAATATTAACAAATTTGAAATGGGTCACGGGGTCTCTTCCTTTATCAGGCTCCCCGAGGTAATTGCTAAAAAGCACGCTTGTGTTAACGTTAAAAATTATGACGATGATGCCTGCTTCGCTTGGAGTATAGTGTCTGCTTTATACCCCGTAGATATGCGTCAACGCCCAGATAGAACATCATCATACCCGCACTATTCGCAGGTATTAAATTTGAACGGCATCGACTTTCCAATGCAAATCTCCCAGATTACTAAATTTGAGAAACTTAATAACATTTCGGTTAACGTTTACCAATTAAAATTAACTGGGAAGAATAAATATAACGTTGAACCTGCTCGTTTAACCAACAATAAACTCGAGAGGCACGTTAATCTTTTAATAATTCAAGATATTTATTTCGATGAACGGAAGGAGGAAAGTAACAGCGAAGACGTAGGAATTAAATACCATTTTTGTTTGATTAAAAATTTATCGCGGTTAGTTTCGAGTCAATTAAGTAAAAAAGCACATGCTAAATATATTTGTGATATTTGTTTAAATTATTTTAGTACTGAAACCGCGTTAGATAGTCACACTGAAGATTGCTCTAAAATTAATAAATGTAAAATTACCTTCCCGGATGAGAAATCTCTATCTTTTAAAAACTATAGGTATAAAGAAAAGGTACCTTTCATTTTATATTGTGATTTTGAGTCCATGTTAGAACCTTTCACCGATCAACAACGACAACGACATACGTCAACCAAAAAATATCAAAAGCATACCGCGATTAGTGCAGGTTTTTATTTTAAGTGTTCCTATGATGATTCTCTATCGATTTACGCAAGCAATAGGAGCCTCGGTTGTATCGAATGGTTTACTCGGGAGCTGGAAAACATATCGAAAGTTATCGAGGACAAACTGAAAACCGTAGTTCCCATGAATATTTCGCAGGAACAATCATTTCAATTTCTTTCTGCTACACATTGTCACATTTGCGAAAAATCTTTTGAAACGGGTACCAAAAAGGTTAGAGACCACTGTCATTTTACTGGAACCTATCGCGGAGCAGCACACGAAAGCTGCAACTTAAATTATAAAAATTCTTTTGTTGTGCCGATAGTATTCCATAATCTTACAGGATATGATTCACATTTTTTGATTAGAGATTTAGCAAAAACCGGAAACATTACTTTACTTCCCATCAATAAGGAGAAGTACATCTCCTTTACAAAGTCAACATCAGATTAGCCGGTAAA